AGGAGGCGTGGGACCTCGGACAGGTACAAAGCCATAGACTCCACCCTCCAGACCAACCATTCCCTTCTGGGGAACCATAATTACTAATCTCCAGGTGAGGGCTGGAGATCACTCAAAATTACAACTGTTCTTTAGGTAGCAGAGATCAGTTCCTCTGGAGAAAATGGTGGACTCAGTGTCATTATACCCTGCTGAGGTCGCCACAGCAAATTGACACTGAGTGTCCAAGGCCGGGGCACCCGCCCAGAGCGTCTTTCTAGAGGCTGTTGTATTTATTTCCACAATGGGCCTTTTCCCTAGTATATATATATAGTTAATCACTACACAAAGGCAGGCAATGGCAAACCACCTCTGAACATCTCTTGCCTTGGAAACCCCATGAGGGGTCACCACAAGTTTGCTGCAACTTGACGGCACTTTCTCCTACCACCAAGCACCTTTACATCCCATCGATTTCAGCGGCAGAGACAAGCCCTTGCTTAACTTCCTCTGAAACCAGTCATGTGCTTATCTTTGGCTGGGTCATGCCTAAAGGTGTTTAGACACAATACCTTTTTTAAAAAATGGTCCTAAATACCGCACAAGAGAATAAGTGCAAATCTGAAATTAATGCCTCAGTCACAGGAAACAAAGCACATTGGGTAAGAAAACAGGCTTACACCGGGCGGGGGGGCACCCAAAGGCAATGCATTTCTGCATCATCTGCTCATCTCTCTTTCCGTCTCTGGCCCCACGGACTCGTCAGGCTGGAAGGATTATTGTGGTTTACGGTTCGTGCACAGCACCGAAGCAGCGGCCTAGAGTTTGTCACGGAGAGCGCGCGGGAGGCCCTCCACTTCCTCTTGCAGGCCTGACGGTGCAGTTTTGTTCTGAACTGCAATTACCCGGCGCATAATTCAGAGAAGTGGAGCAGCCTGGAAGGACCAGCACAGGAAATGCCCCCGCCTTCCCCCCGTGCCCCCTTCTCCTCCTATTCTGTACTCACGGCGTTGAACACCAGCCCTGCCTTGCTTTCGCGGGAAGGTCAATGCTGTTGGCTTGTCTGGGGTCAGTGGTCAATGTGGACCAACACGGGGGAATCACGCCACCTGCAAGGCACACGGTTGCATTCGGCGGGACCGGCTGAGCCCGAGCCACCCTCCCAGAGGCAGAGGCTTGAGCTCGCCTCCCACGCCATCGCTCCCCTGCTCCCCCCCCAGCAATCCGGGAGCAGAGCGGGGGCTCCCCCTGGGCGTTGGCCTGGGAGAGTCAAACTGGCAGCTAGAGGCTGCCCTGGGGATGTCTGGCTGGCGCACGGGGAGAGGCAGCTGCTTTTGAGCCAGAGATCCGGAAGGGGGTGGGGGAGGGCCACGTGCTCAGCATGTGCTGAGCAGTGCTTCTCGGCCCTGGAAGCCCGAGCCAGGCAGACCCTCGCCTGACCAAGATGCGCATGGGGAGCTGAGCAGCTTCAGCAAGCCTGACTCGCGGGCACCACCAGCGGCTGGGCAGCAGCACAGCGAGGGAGGGTGGGTTGCTTGCCACAGGTGGTGCCTTCTCCAGCACCGGCTGCTGAGTCCGGGCCCGGGGAGGCTTCCCCCTCTGGTGCTGCTGCAACCCACCACAAATATGCTTCTTCGAGGAAAATGAGAGGGGGCCGGGGTACAGAAAGGCACTGGCACCAACTCCCGGAACGCCGTTCCGGCTTGTTCCCCCTCGAAATGACCCCTGCTCATAAGCCTCAGAGGCACAAAACTCCCATCGAATGACTGATGCAAAGACCTCAGGTCATCCCCCAGAGAAACTCAAGGGCTTTGTGACATGTTGATTGGTTCATCTGCTCCAGCGGCCTGTTTTCAACAACGTCTGGCCAGATGCTTCTGGGATCCCCTGAAGCAGCACACTCAATGCCCTTAACATCTGGCAAATGAATAGGTAAGCATTTTGCAGTCATGGCTGAAATATTGTCGATGGAGACAGCTGTTTTTCAACACTGCTGAGAGTATTCCTGAAAGACAAGGACTTGATTTGACTCAGTCCTATTCTTCACGGATGCTGCCCTGACGACCACATCAGTCGAAGAAGCACTCACCTTCTGAGCCAAAGTAGAAAACTTCTGTCCGGACTCCTCCACGATATATCCCAGTTCGAACACGGGGCACAACGGATCTCGGACTTTGTGGTAGGTGCAGCTCTTGAGGTAGTGCTTGGTGACTCTCTCCACAAGGTTGCGTCTGTCAGACATAAAGAGCCCAAGTGTGGGACGTAAGAATAGACTCCAGACACATCACAACCCTCCTAACAATCTCGTTTTTTACCCCACCTTTACTCCAAAGAGAAAGAGGCCTGGCCATAGGATGGTAGGAACTAGTTTTGCCTGGCAGAAGGTGTGCATGGTAAGCAGCTAAATAGCCAAGACAGTTGGATTTTCCATCCAGAAATGATTCTGATTTGGGTGTTGGAGTGATCGACTCGGCATATCTGGACAATGGCAGGGGGGCATGGCACAGAATCACAGAATCACAGAATGTTAGAGTTGGAAGGGACCTTGCAGGTCATCCGGTCCGAACCCCTGCACTATGCAGGAGCACAGCCGGAAGACAGCCCTACAACATACCCGAAAGATGGCCGTCCAGCCTCCGCTTGAAAACGTCCAGCAAAGGAGCACCCGCCACCTCCCGAGGCCGTCTGTTCCACCGCTCAACCACTCTTACAGTTAGGATGTTTCTCCTGATATTTAGCCGGTAACGACTCCCTTGTAATTTCCACCCATTAGATCTAGTCTTACAATCCGGAGCAAGAGAGAATAGATCCGCTCCATCTTCTACATGACAGCCCTTCAGATACTTGAAGACTGCAATCATGTCCCCTCTAAGCCTTCTCTTTCCCAGGCTAAACATACCCAACTCTTTCAGCCTTCCCTCATAAGACATGGATTCCAGCCCTCTCACCATCTTGGTTGCCCTCTTCTGGACACACTCGGGCATGGCACAGAATCATAGAATCACAGAATGTTAGAGTTGGAAGGGACCTTGCAGGTCATCTGGTCCAACCCCCTGCACTCTGCAGGAGCATAGCCGAAAGATAGCCCTACAACATACCCGAAAGACGGCCGTCCAGCCTCCGCTTGAAAACGTCCAGCAAAGGAGCACCCACCACCTCCCGAGGCCGTCTGTTCCACCGCTCAACCACTCTTACAGTTAGGATGTTTCTCCTGATATTTAGCCGGTAACGACTCCCTTGTAATTTCCACCCATTAGATCTAGTCTTACAATCCGGAGCAAGAGAGAATAGATCCGCTCCATCTTCTACATGACAGCCCTTCAGATACTTGAAGACTGCAATCATGTCCCCTCTAAGCCTTCTCTTTCCCAGGCTAAACATGCCCAACTCTTTCAGCCTTTCCTCATAAGACATGGATTCCAACCCTCTCACCATCCTGGTTCCCCTCTTCTGGACACGCTCGAGCTTGTCAACATTCTTCCTAAAATGTGGTGCCCAAAACTGGACACAGTACTGCAATCATGTCCCCTCTAAGCCTTCTCTTTCCCAGGCTAAACATACCAGGCTAAGCGTCACTCGAAGAGTGTATAAGCATTACCTCCTTGAATAGAATGCTTCTTTTTGACTTAACCTGGGAGCTTCCCTCTCTGACCCCTCCTCTCTCTCTCCCTTTGTCCTCTCCCTCTTCTCACATGGCCTTCCATGGAGACACATGACTCTGCAGGTCTTTCCAGTAGAGACAATGCCTACAGGGTGTAAGCTTTCAAGAGAGCCAGCATGGTGTAGTGGTTAAAGACTGGCGGACTCTAATCTGGAGAACCGGGTTTGATTCCCCACTCCTCCGCACGAAGCCTGCCAGGTGACCGTGGGCCAGTCACAGCTCTCTCAGAACTCTCTCAGCTCCACCTACCTCATAGGGTGTCTATTGTGGAGAGAGTAAGGGAAAGTGATTGTAAGTTGCTTTGAGACTCCTTAGGGGAGAGAAAAGTGGGGTATAAAAAATTACTCTTGAGAGCCAGTGTGGGGTGGTGGGTCAGAGCAGCATACTCTAATGTGGAGAACTGGGTTTGATTCCCCACTCCTCCACATGATGCCAGCTGGGTGACCTTGGGCCAGTCACAGTCCTTTCAGGACTCTCTCAGCCCCACCTACCTCACAGGGTGTCTGTTGTGGGGAGGGCAAGGGAAGGTGATTGTAAGCTGCTTTGAGATGCCTTAAGGAAAGTGGGGTATAAAAACCAACTCTTCTCCTCCTCCTCCTCCTCCTCCTCCTCCTCCCCACACACACATGATATGATGCTGGACAAGCTGGCCATTTGTGATAGGGGAAGTACTCTTTAGATTAGGCTTCTCTCTCTCCTTTCGACTGCAACCTGGATGTGAACTGGATCTGCCTGAATAAATGTAACTTTACCTTTTTTGTAATATACTCCTTGGGAGGTTCAGGACTATTTTTGGGCAGGAACACACAGGAACGGAGTTCCGGCTGGCTTCCGAGTTCACCCCTCCCCTCCCTTCCCTCTCCAAAAGCCCTGCTGTTGCAGTATTTGAACGCATAGATTTTGCATCAAAAATGTCTTCTCTTGCAATTCTGAATTTCGCCACTAGATGCCTCTGCTGTGCTTCCCCATTAACTGATCACTGCAATGCCTTGCTTCTCAAGGCTGGCTGACTGAGACCTCTGATTTGAGAAAAGACTGAGCTTGGGGTCCCGTTTAGCTGTGGGACGTTTGCCGCATACAGTCCTTTTTCTTTTCTTTTTAAAATTATTATTATGTATAAGTTTATCCATACAGTCCTTTTTCCTAATTTTGAGGCTTGGTTTCAGTGTACCAAGCAGGTAGAAGAGTGTTAGCCCCCAAGGAGCTGTCATGGGTATGGCCTAATATGCTAATGGATTTCTGATGTTGGGTGTGGCCTATTATGCTAATGAGTTCCTGCTGGGCTTTTTCTACAAAAAAAAAGGCTTGGAGAGGTTTATTTACTGCACTCAGTATCACGCTTCTCCGACTGGGCAAAACTCTGCTATATTAACCAAACACCCCATTAAGAGCCACGCAGCCTCCTTGTGTGCTCGCTTCTGTGTCCCAGTAAAGGGCTGGCCAACCTACATCCAATCTGTAAATAAACTGTTGTAAAGACAACAAGGCTTTGTCCCTTGGAAAACGGCCCACTAAAGTCTGCCTCCACCACTGGGGAGAACGGGGTGTGAAAAGCTGGATGCTAAGGAGAAGGACATGCACAATGATTAATAATAATGTTCAGCAATGGTGCCTTTGATCGACAGCTTTGCTTGATGGCTTACCTGGAGACTTTAAACCTGGGGAAAGTAATACTGTTCTTGATAAATATGGTGAAGTTTTCTGCTTCGAGGAGCAGAGGTGGGCTGGAAGACAAAAGAATGGATGCTTCATAGATGCAACGAACATGAAATTGGGCAGGCAGGGGAACGGAGAGACGCTTACCCAATTTTTTTTAAAAAGCCAAAAACGGAATAGCTCCCTAAACCCCCCCACCCCCCAAAGCCTTGCAAAACAGGGCCGCTCCCTGCCAGCTCCGCCTGCGACTGAACAACAACAAAAGGTTAAAATCCCTGGTGTCTGCTATACCTCCCCCAACTTCTATGCAGTCAAAATTGGGAACACAGTTGTGTTTGAGCTGAGCAGCTTTCCCCTGTTGGGTTCCTTTCTTATTCCATCAAGAGAGTTTCAGAAGGTAGCTGTGTTTGGTCCAGTAGCACTTTTGAGACCAACAAGAGCTTCTGAGACCCAAAACTCCCTTCTGTGTCTGATGGAGGGAGCTTGACTCTCAAAACCTTAAACCCCGGAACTCTCATTGGTCTGGTCTCTAAGGTGTTGTTTGTTCCAGAATCTCTCTCTATGAGGTATTCCATTCACCACAAATGGGGGTTAACTTGGATGATTTCTAAAATTAATTCCAGCGTAGGACTTCCTGCTAGCTTTGAGTTCAAAGGCATCTTTGTGTGTGCATTGATAAAACATTGCAAAATTAGGTATGTTTTTGTATGAGTGTGTGTGGATAGACAGACAGGCAGGCAGACAGATTCTTTTGAGGTCGGATTACATTCAAGGAGTCCCAGCTCTACCTGTCTGATTTTTTAAAATCCAAGTGCAGTTGACTTCTTTATGCCTGTCATGGTTACACATTCAGTGCTATTCCCAATGGGTAGCCATATTGTTCGACGTGTGAATTGCACCAACTACCTCCACTCTTCAAGGGATTCTCTCCCAACAACTAACACCCATTGAGGAAACATCAGCTGACATTCTCATTCATCAGAATAACAAAGGATTGTTCAGCCAGAGAATTCCAAGTTAGGAAGAAAGAAAAAAACCCTGAACAGCAGATGCCAATATTCACTCTTCATCTAGAATTCAAGAAGGATAGTGTGGTCAAAATTCCCCTTCTCAAAGGGAAAGAACAAAATTAGGGGATTACAGAATCAGTAAATGTAGGCTAGGAATGTTCCAAGATGCCTAATAATTAGGAGGGAGATGTGAGGAGTCTAGTGGGTAGTTTTCACAGTGAAGACAGTCTTAACTAGGTCAATACACTTCCCACGAATTATTAATTCTGTCCACTTTCATCCCCCCCTCCTTTATTTCTGGTTTTCAGTATTTCAGTACTTCTTGCACATTGATCGTTCATGGTTAAAAAAACACACACACCAAGATTTTATGCTGCTATTGTATTGATAAAAGCTCCAATTTGTTTCTACCCTTTACCACACCAAATACATTAAGTGGGGGTCACTGCCATCTAGAAGAGAAAGACAAACCAAGGACGAGTTCTCCCTGTTGTATTACCATAATATTCTAAAAAGGGAAGCCATAAGTATACCTGCTGAGCAGGGTTCTCCTGACCTGACTCAGATAGCCATGCGTCAGGTGTGAGGGAACTTGTTTCCCAGGCAGGGGTCATTTCCTGCAGCAGCGCACAGGAGCGGAGCTGCGGCAGTAAAGAGGCCAGGCAGGGGGCGGGCACATGCAACAAGTTCCACCCCCTGCTCCCAGCAGCCCTCAGTCAGAGCAAGAAGCAGCCAGGTAAGTTGCAGAGCCCCCCCCCAAAAGTCCAAAACAGTCCAGTGGCACCTTTAAGACCAAGTTTTATTCAGGTACAAGCTCTCCCTCCTCTGCAAGGACAGATCTACATGTTCCCCCACCCACAATAGTTAGCAATCCAAAACAGGCAGGCAGTGGAGGCAGTGGAGCCTGTCAGAGGGTGTGGCATATGCAAATAAGCTTTGCTAATGAGTTATGCTAATGAGCTCCTGCACCTCTTTTTCTACAAAATGACCCCTGTTCCCAGGCATGTAGCACCCTGATTTGGATAGGACTGGTTTTGCCCAATCTCGTCAGATTGCAGAAGCTAAGCAGGGTTGGTCCTGGTTAGTGTTTGGATGGGAGACCACCAATGCTCCCTCTAAGCTGTGGAGTCTTGTGAGCAAAAATTCTACTCTGTGAGCTACTGGCATTAAAGTTGGCTAGTGCATAAATTAGTTTGCTCTGGAGCCGTCCTTCCTGAGCCAAGACAAAAATGTGTGAGCCGGAGGCTAAAAAATTGTGAGCTAGCTCACACATAACTCAGCATAGAGGGAGCCCTGAAGGCTACCAAGGAAGTCCAAGGTAGCTATGCAGCCCTAAATAAAACAGTCTTCAGCTGCTGCCTACAGATCAAAAGTGAGGGGGACAGGTGCACCTCCCTGGGGAGGTTATTCCATAACCGTGGAGCTGCCACTGAAAATGCCCTCTCTCTTTGTCCCCACCAAACTATGTTGCCAGAGCCCAGAGTTCAAGACACACACTCCCATTATCGTTCTCCATTACCTCCCACCTCAGACAACTGACGTTGCAAAGACTGCCCCCCCAAGCAACAATTCATGTCATTAGGATAAGAAAGTGGGTAGCCCCCCCCATTCCTTACTTAGGAACAATGTCGTCAATCTCTACTGGGCACCAGCCAAAGATTTCACAGGTCTTATTTGTGCTGTCAAAGTTCACACACTTCCCAGTCATGATACCTGAAGAAAGAAAACAGCAGAGAGACAGGTTAGGAAGAGAAGTTCTTCCAAGAGGTCAGGAGGTCCTATGCAAAGTCTCCAGAAGATCAGTGCACACCCGGTTGCTCTAGGGTGGCCAGCCTTCAGGTGAGAAAAACAAGTGGAGTTAACAGACTCAACAATTACAACTTGCCAAAAAGCTGAAGGACATGTCCTAGAGAATGATGTATACAAAGCAGCTACAATGAAAAAGTACCAAATGTAAACAATGGAGAACTGGTATGCGCTACAATGTATAAACAATGGAACACCCTTATGAAGGATGGATTTTGAAACGTTGTTATCAAACATCCGGACACAACGTGGAATTATTTAGTAGTTCTCCATTGTTTATACATTGTAGCACAAAAAGGGAACCTCCAGATTCAGAGGCAGTCTACCTCTGTCTGCTAAATGCTGTTTCCCCTGCGCCCTGCACATGGGCTTTCTTAGAAGGTATCTGGATGGCCATTGTGGCAAACAAGATGGTGGATTTGATAGAACCTCTGTCTGAGATTCAGCTGGGTTCTTCTTACATTCTTGTAAGTGTTTACATGGACACACTTAAAACTGCCCTTATACTGAATCAGACCTCTGGATCCATCAAGGTCACTACTGTCTACTCAGACAGGTGGGGTTCTTCAGGTTCTCAGGGCAGATATCTCTCACATCACCTTGATACCTATTGTTTTAACTGGAGATTGAACCTCGGGCCTTTTGTGTGTCAAACAGGTGCTCTGCCACTAAGCCACGGTCCCTCCCTGAACATGTTAAATGATGTCGCGCTGCCTCTCTTTTGTGCACTGTCTTTCTCACCTTGACCTCCACGAGGGTACTTCCCCTCAGTACAATTACGGTCTTCAACACATTTCCCCGTGTCGGGATTCTGGAAAGAGAACAAAGCATGATGACTATTCAACTGCGGTAAGATCTCCTTCAGTACCTAATTTCCCCTGCAGGAGCCCCAGTGTCAGGGCAGTTAGGATTCTGTATTAGAGTTTTGGAGCAGGAGGAGGAGGAGGAGGAGGAGAAGAGCCCAATTGTGACTTCATGAAAAATGGAGTGTGCCAGGTTAATCTATATATTTTGCCCTCACCCATAGTTAAAGGGTATACTTATACAGATGCCATGACCTGAATAGTTCAGGCTAGCCCAATCCCATCAGATCTTGAAAGCTAAGCAGGGTCGGCCTTGGCTAGTATTTGGAAGGGCGACCTCCAAGGAATACTAGGGTCATGACACAGAGGCAGGCAATGGCAAACCACCTATGAAAGTCTCTTGCCTTAAGAATAAGTCTAGCTCTCCACCTAGTGGTGCATAACACTAAAGAGCTAGGGTTTATGGCTGCCAGACAATCTTAGGATCTCCTGGCTAGTCTACGCACAATGCCATACAATAATTAATTAATTAAATATACAGAAAATGTGGAGGGCAGTGGTTTGCCCCTCAGGGGGGAAAAGAATATCTGTCTGGTATGATTCAGAGCCCTGCCTGAGACCCTGTTCTTTAGGGCCTGGAGAGCCACTGCCAGTCAGAGTGGTCAATACTGACCGTGATAGCCCAAGGGTCTGACTCTGTATAATGCAGTTTCACCAGGGTTAAAAGTAGAGTGTCTTAAATTGATCTATCATAATGAGGAGGGATTGTAATTCAGTGGCAAAGCAAATGCTTTGAAATGTAAATGGATGGATGGATGGATGGATGGATGGATGGATGGATGGATGGATGGATGGATGACATCCCAGGTTCAGTCCCTGGCAGCTCCAATCTCAGGAGTTCCTTTGCCCCGGCCCCTGGAGAGCTGCTGCCAGTCAGAGTAGACAATAATGAGTTAGAGCCAATTTGGTGTAATGGTTAAGTGCATGGACTCTAATCAGGGAGAACCAGGTTTGATTCCCTACTCCTCCACTTGCACCTGCTGGATGACCTTGGGCAAGCCATAGTTCTGTCAGAGCTGTTCTTCAAAAAGAGCAGTTTCTGTCAGAGCTCTCTCAGCCCCACCTACCTCACAGGCAGTGTTCCCACAGTTTTTTAGCCTCCGCCTCACAGATTTTTGTCTTAGCTCAGGAAGGATGGCTCCAAAGCAAACTAATTTATGCAAGTAGCCAAATTGCTTGCTCACCAATTTAATGCCAGTCGCTCACAAGGTAGAATTTTTGCTCACAAGACTTCACAGCTTAGAGGGAACATTGCTCACAGGGTGTCTGTTGTGGGGAGGGGAAGGGAAAGGAGTTTATAAGCCGCTCTAAGACTGGGCCAGTGGTCTGACTCTTTATTTTGTAGTTTCATACTCAGTATCAATCTTTGGGGAATTTTGCATTTGCTTATTGCGTCAGTTTCACCGATCTTCCAAAAATCAATACACAATTTAATTTGAGCAAATAACCTCAGGGTTTCTTGGGACTTTAGTGAGTCAAATATCTTCTGGAAGAGGTTTTTTAAAAAAAGTTTGGGTTTTCTACCAGCTACTCAGAAAAGTGGAGAATCTCTCTCACACAGACATACAATTCTGATCTGTCCCCCTGCCCCTGAGTCACATTTCTTGAACTCTGATACTGAATCACACATGCAATGGAATGGCTACATTTCTTACATGCTCACTCATGTTCAGTACAGATACTGAAAAACCAAAGGAACAAATTACCCCGGGGCACCGTCCCTGCTTCTGCCCTTGAGTGATGATGAAATTGGTCATTACCACAAAGGAGCTGTCTCCCTGCAAAGAAAAACACAGCAAACATCAGAAACAACTCGGTCACATCGGTGAGGATGCCACCTCCGTTTGGTGCACTCACCTGAGGCATTTTGAGCTCTTGGTGCCAAAAGTCCCCTTATTCTGGCACACTTTGTTGCTACTAGTTGATGGCTGCCGCGGTCACACACACTAAGCAATCCACTTTCAATCCACTTTCAATGCACTTCCCAACTGGTTTTTCCCAGTTCACACAGTAAAATCCAGTTGGGAAGTGCATTGAGAGTGCATTGAAAGTGGGTTATTTAAGTGTCTGTGACCACTGTTCCCTCTAAGCTGAGTTAGTGTGAGCTAGCTCACAGTTTTTTAGCCTCTGGCTCACATATTTTTGTTTTAGCTCAGGAAGGGATGGCTCCAGAGCAAACTAATCTATGCAGCAGCCAAATCACCTGCTCACAACTTTAATGCCAGTAGCTCACAAAGTAGAATTTTTGCTCACAAGACTCCACAGCTTAGAGGGAACATTGTGACTGCAGCTTAATCATGCAGGATACCGCAACACACTGCCTCATCGTGGCCACTGGTCACAGTAGAGTTGTCAGCTCCGGGATGGGAGAGACCTGGATATTCTGAGGGTGGAGCCTGAGGAGGGTGGGGTTTGGGGCGGGGAGAGAGAGCTCAGCAGGGTCTGGTGCCACACAGTCCACCTTCCAAAGTGGCCATTTTCTCCAGGGGAACCGTTGCCTGGAGAGCAGTTCTAATCCCAGGAGATCCCAGTTCTAATCCCAGGCAGTGCATTTAGGCCATAGGGTGCAATTCCTGCACATGCTTTCCATACGGATGGGAAAAATGACTTCACTCGATGGCTTGCAGCACTCGCCGCTGCAGGTGTGGCGATGACCACTGGGTTCAGATGAATTTAAAGGGGGTGGGACAAATCTATGCTGTCCTAGTGTGGGTTTGGTGAGACAGTGGAGCAAAGGCTGGATGCAGATGAAGCCTAGATGTACTGCTCCCAGCTGAAGAGGACCTCCGGGTCCAGAGGAAGATGAGCTTCAGGTAAGGTAATTTGGGTTCACGTTAAACCTCTAGTAGATTGGGATGCCGAATTCCAAACAAGTCCATGCTGGTAACCAAGGCTTTTTTTGTAGAAAAAGCCCAGCAGGAACTCATTAGCATAATAGGCCACACCCTTACACCAAAGCTCATTAGCATATTAGGCCGCAGCCCCATGTTGCCAGAAGTGTGGTCATCCAGACACACCCACCTTTTGCTTCTTATTCTGTTTACCTTGTTTGTTGTCAAAACCCAGGGCCTTTTTTTGTAGCAGGGACTCCTTTGCATGTTAGGCCACACACGCCTACTGTAGCCAATCCTAATGAGTTTCTGCTGTTGGGTGTGGCCTATTGTGCTAATGAGTTCCTGCTGGGCGTGGCCAACTCAGGAGCCAGCCGGAACTCCGTTCCTGTGCGTTCCTGCCCAAAAATAGCCCGGCTGGTAACAGCTTCAGGCTCCTTACCTGAGGTGGGAAAACATAATCGGTGCCATCCCAGATGTGGGGGCCCAAACCGCTGACATTGGTAAGAGCCAGCCCTTTGAGCTTCACAGAGATAGAGCTGATGACTCCGTCCCGGGACTGGTAGCCTTTCTCATAGAGGAAAACCCACCTAAGGATAAAGACAAGGGGGAAAAAAATTAGGTATTTGCAACAGCTATCCAAAAAAAGAAGTTATGAACCACGGAGGAGTAGGGTTGCCAGCTATGGGTTGGAAAATACCTGAAGATTTGGGGAGTGGAGCCTGAGGAGGGTGGGGTTTGGGGAGGGGAGGGACTTCAGTGGGGTCTACCGAGAATCGCAAAGTCTTTGGAGCAGAGACAATCCAGATGTTTCAGAACAGCTTGGTCCCAGGATTCCTGTAGGGGGAAGCCATGGCAGTGAAACTGGCATGAAGCCAGTTTTATGGCTGCAGTGCAAGCATGACTTCACCGAAGACCTTTCTCAAGAAGAGAGGTAGATTTAACAGTAGGGGTTCCCCAGCCTTTTCGGAGCCTGTGGTCACCTTTGGAATTCTGACACGGGGGGGGGGGGGGCGACCACAAAATGGCTGCAGAAGAAGCCACGCACAGAAGAAGCCCAATTGCATGGGGCAAGAGGAGTAATATTTTAAAAATATGCTGAGAAATACAAGTGCAAGAGTATAAAACCAACACTGTAGTGGCAGCATTATTTTAATCTGCACAGTCCAATGGCCAGTCAAAAGTCTTGCCTGGTAGGAGCCGCACCCAGCCCCACCCTCTTCTAAAAGCAGGGGTCATTTCCTGCAGGAGCGCACAGGAGCGGAGCTCTGGCAGTAAAGAGCCCAGGGGGCGGGCACATGCAACAAGCCCCGCCCCCTGCTCCCAGCAGCCCTCAGTCAGAGCAAGAAACAGCCAGGTAAGCTGCAGAGCCCCCCCCCAAAAAAAACAGTCCAGTGGCACCTTTAAGACCAAGTTTTATTCAGGTACAAGCTCTCCCTCCTCTCTGAGGACAGATCTGCACGTCCCCCCCCCCCAATAGCTAGCAATCCAAAACAGTCCAGTGGAGCCTGAGCGGTGGGTGTTGCCTTCTGACACACTTCCGGTGATGCCAGGGGGTGTGGCATATGCAAATAAGTTATGCCAATGAGTTATGCTAATGAGATCCTGCACCTCTTTTTCTACAAAATGACTCCTGTCTAAAAGCACCTGGTGGGCACCAGGAAAGGTGTCAGTGGGCACCATGACGCTTGTGGGCACCATGTTGGAGACCCCTTAGAGGAACCTTTTCTGTTATGGCAGGTCAATTATAGTATTCCCATAAAACGGGCATAAAAGTGATACATGCCTATAAATGTCATATAAATAACAAAATAATACTGTAAAAGAAACAAAATACCGTCAACAGTGCGGGGAAAAATGAGGAAGGCTGAAGCAACAACTATGTATGGCACGAAAGAGAAACAAAAACAATTTATTATTTGATTTATTTCATTTTTCCGAGCCAATTTGGTGTACTGGTCAAGAGCGGCAGACTCTAATCTGGAGAATTGGGTCTGATTCCCCCACTCTTCCATGTGCAGCCAGCAGGGTGATCTTGGGACAGTCACAGTTCTCCCAAGAGCAGTTCTCTCAGAGCTCTCTCAGCCCCACCTACCTCACAGGGTAGGAGAGGAAGGGAAGGAGACTGTAAGCCACTCTGAGACTCCGAGTGAAGGGTGGGATATAAATTCAACTCTCCTCCTCCTCTCCTTTCCCCCAATCGGGACCCAAAGGGCCTTACACTGTTTTCCTCCCCTCCCTTCTTTCCGCACAACAACCCTCTGAGATAGGCTAGGCTGAGAGCATGTGGCTGGCCCAAGGTCACCCAGCAAATGTCCATGGCAAAGTAGAAATTCAAACGTGGGTCTCCCCAGCCCTAGTCCGACACTTTAACCACTACACCACACTGGCTAATCACTAAATGAAACTGGCTTAATGTACATCGGCTCATCCCCAAATGAAACAAAGCTAATAACAAAGACAAACACACCTGTTCACTAACATAACGAACATTTATAACAGAAAAAAGCCAATGTCCGTGTAGATCTCTAATTTTAGGGGCTGCTGCTGAAACTGGAAGATGAGAGGTCAAAAAGGATTCAGAGAAGAGCCACACAAAATAAAAAAATTTAAAAATCGGAAGTGGAAAAGGTAGAAGAAATTGGGTGTGTTCATCCTATAGAAAAGAAGGGAGAGGATATCCTTGGAATCTTCAAATATTTATCATTAAATAAAGAGATTTCAAGAAGAACAGAGGGCAGAGCAAGGAGGAAAGAAAATTAAATTTGGGGGAAGTGGGTTCAGTGTTGACCGAGAGGATAACGCCGAGGATTCTACTATCATATTATTTATTTTTCATGGACCTTTTGTAAGTCCTTTACAAACAACCAAGGAGCTGTCTGTCATTTTTATTCCACCCTTTCTCCAAAGAGCTCAGGGCAAAGTACACAGTTCTCCCTTCTTCCATTTATGGTTTCACAAAACCTTTTAAAGCACCTTGGCTGAATAATGGTTGCCCAGCAAGCCTCATAATTTGAAACCGGGTTTCCCCAGTCATAGGCCAGCACTCAGACTACTACATAGCAATGCCTGTCCTCCAGTTTATCTACAGAACAACCCTGTGAAGAATTGTCAGCAAAGACCCTGACCTGGATAGCCTAGGCTGGCCTGATTCCATCAGATCTCAGAAGCTAAGCAGGGTCAACCTTGGCTATTATTTGGAAGGGTGACCTCCAAGGGATACCAGGGCTGCGATGCAGAGGCAGGCAATGGCAAACCACCTCTGAAAGTCTCTTGCCTTAAAAACAAGTCTAGCTCGCCCCCTAGTGGTGCATAACGCTAAAAGAGCTAGAACTTCTGGCTGCCAGACAATCTTGGGATCTCCTGGCTATTCTACACAAAATGCCATACAGTTATTGTTGTTGTTGCTGTTGTTGGAGAAAGAGTGTGATTAGCCCAAGAGTCCCCAGTGAGTTTGATGGCTTAGTGGGGTTTTGAACTGAAGACTTTCCTTCCCATGGTTTTTTTTTAACTACTACAGCCCACTGGATTTTTATAGAGATACAAAATAGGAGGGAATTCTGTACGGTGCGCTCCCCCCTTAACTGAGAGCCATCATGGTGTAGGGGATAGAGTGGTGGATTGTGGCCAGTGAGGCTCTCGTTCGAGTTCCTGCTGTGTTATAAAACTTGCTGGATGACTTTGGTCCAGTCCTGTTCCCTCAGCCTAACATGCCTCAGAAGGTTCCAGTGAGGACAAACTGGAGTTAGGGAGAACAGCTCAGTGTCCTGAGCTTCTCAGAGCCAGGGCAGGATGACTATTTTTGAAATAAATCAAAGAATAGAAAGGCCAGGAAGATTAATGTGAGGTAGCTCACTATGTGAATTAACTGCCTTCAGTAAAGGGGGTGGGACAGAGTAACGTGGTACAATGGTTAGAGTGTCTGACTAGAATCATGGAGACCTTGGGTCAATTTTATATATTTATTTAAAATTGTATTTTGCCCTCCTCACAAGCGGGCACAGGGCAGATCACAAGTAAATCCTAAAACACATAAATACAATATTATGGAATAATTAAAAACGGTTTAAAACAACATAAATTAAAAACAGGATGCATGCTATTTATCTCTGTACATAGGCACAGGGTATTTGGATGTGGGTTTGAGCCGCATCTTTTTCTGTCCCAGTGTGGGTTTGGTAAAACAGCAGAATTGGCCATAGTTTCCAAGCTGGCACCATTGGGTCTCTGAGACCATCTTAATCTGGGCCGTGTAGAGTGGTAAACTTCAACTTCAGCAGGGGAGGCCAGTTTTTTATTGGACGCCCACTGCCTCAGTCAAAGGCCTGGCAGATCAGCTCCAATTTACAGGCCCTGCAGAACAGTAGTGAGTCCCGGAGGGCCCTGATCTCAGACGAGAGCATGTTCCACCAGGCTGGGGCTGTAGTGTATCAGGCCCTGTCAGGGCCGGGCATGCCTGGACTTGCCCAGTCACCAATACCACTAGCTTCATGCAAAAAGACAATGGGCCAGTAGGATCCTAGCCAGGCCCAATGAAAGGGCTAGGTCCCAGGCCAAGAGGCCAATAGGTCTCTTGGGCATTGTAAATAGCCTATCGGGAGTGGGGGTGTGCTTGGTGGTGGGTTTCTCTGAGGGACTATAAGCCGGCCTGCGTGCCAGTTAAGGTGTCTTTGTTCCTGACTAAATAAAGGTATGCTTAGCTGAAATCACTCTCCGTATGCATACTTTTCAGGGGCCAGGGCAGAAAAAGCGGACATCCCTTGGGCCAGGGACAACCAGCCGGTCTAAGCTCACTGGGTAATCTTGGGCTAGTCTCTGACTTACCTACATCACAGGATTGTCATAAGGATTAATGGGCATGATTAGTTGGATGAAGGGTGGGATAAAATTGTGGTTTTTAAGCATATCATATGGCGCTGCACTCTCCGGTGTTAATCCGGGCCCCTTTTCCCAAAGCTATTTTGTTTGCCCTGTTGCTGTTTAACCAATTGATTCAGCACAATTTCTTTTTATGGTATCACGTTAACCCCTTAACTTATACCGGGGCAGTGCTGGCTTAGAGAAATGTTTGTGAATGGTTATAGAAAGCATTCACTTGATGTGCCAGGGTTGATGGGCTCAGAGCCTACATTCTTCGATCGGGATGAAAAGCAGATTTCTCTCCTTTTTTAGTCTGGCCGACCATTCCTTACCGTCTTAGACTCTGACCTGAAAACAATGGACCTGGCTTTCTTTACTGCCTTTCAGAGCCAGAATTTTCTCTCATTCGGTTTGCGATTTAATGGATTTGCTACAGTCAAGAGAAACATAGTTTATCAAGGGGGGGAAACAACGCTCCTCATTCCAGAGAAAGCCGACCTGTCGGAAAGGATCTTTCAGGCCGCATATGGTATTTTCTGAGTTAACTGGAATTAGTAACAGAATATTTGACATTTTTACCAAAAAAACAAACCTTGCCATATAATTAAGGAGAGTACCAAATTTTATGGTAGCTTCGGTTCAATTGGAAGTCAATTTTACGGTTTCTCGGAATGAGGAAGCTGCGTTTATCCATTTTCCTGAACGATTAAGGATATTTGATGAAAATGTG